GTGTGAACAATTCGCTCTTCGACTTCACTCTCTTCACCAGTAACCTACCCGGCTGTCAGCGTGGTTAGCTAGGTGATGGATTCGTCTACTAGCACATGCCGCGCATGCCCGTGAACCTCACGGAAGGCAAAAAGGCTCAACCGTCCTTCCAATAGGTAATTGAGCCAACCTGCAAAACCAATGCTCATACCGCGTGTTAACTCTGAATTCTATGGGCCGCAGGTGTGTCCCATGCAACAGCCCACAACATAAATTCTTGGGTCGCTGCAGCGGCAGCAAAAGCCTAACATCTATAAGGAATGCAAACTAGCCAATTATCAGTGATGCAAGTCTGGACGTGACCGCGCAGGGCTCTGTACACCGGCACAAAATCGATACATCGATTGATTAATTCCTCTTCTGCAAACCAGGCATTTTTCCGGCGTGGGCGATTATTTTGACGGGTGCGAAGTTGAACGAATGGCCTGTTGCATAGGTTTAGGCAGGAACTTGCAATTATCTGGAATCGGAACCTTTGCATCCATTTATGGTAAACAGTCTTCAGCTATTTCATTATATGGGGACAAGAACTGTGACGTCATTTTATCAACAAGCTCCAGTTCGTAATCTGAATAAAAGCGCTCGGGGGTAAATCTCGAGATTGTCCATACGGACTCTAGGTCCAACACACGTCTCATTCGAGGTTGCTCATCGGACGGTCCACCTACAACTTAAATTGCGTTGTAACCTAAAATCTACCTCTGCAGACTTTTGAATGCCACATCCGTGCGCACAGTTGACTATTTTTATATCGCTGTTGCTGATCCCAATACATCTCTAAAGTTCATTCTTCCACTGTCTCAAATCCTTCTAGATTCGACGCCAACTACTTCTGCGCAAGCGTGGCTCCGATCATGGAGAGATTGCAGAAATCGAAAAGAAGCTGGAACGCATGAGGCGTGGTCGCCAGGGCTCCACCGAATCGCGTCTCGCTCTACACACTCACTCCAACCGGCATGCCCACTCGGAGCACAATTCGGTGGGTTTTTGGTCTCTTTTTGTGTGTGCGCATACTCAAATTAGCGTGCTTTTTCCTACCGGTACAGGAAGTTCCTGCGTCAGCGGATACTTGCGATGTCAGGGGCTGTCGCCATACGCCTCACTAACCCAAACATGACATATGGCAACTTACAAGTTATAGATCCAAGTGATAGATCCGATCAATCAGGAACCAAGAGCCAACAAATGAACTAGCCAATCATCTGAACATCCCTCTTTTAATTTTTACCAGAGCCACCACCACCATCATCACCGTCACTGGACGCGACGTATGCACTCCGGCTCGAGCTCCTCCACAGGCATCCACTCCGATCCGGAACTGGCGGCCAATGGCTGGTGGAATGTGGGTG